CGGAAGAAGATAAGAGCAAATGGAGTATTAGTAGTAGGGCAGCAGTTACATGGCTTCATCGGTGGGGCTATGATTACAAGCAGGTGCGAAAGGGACTCTACAAGGATGGCCACGAGAGGGAAGATGTTTTGTCGTATAGGATGAACCAGTTCCTACCTGCTTTGAAGGCTTTGGAACATCGATTTGTTCTCTGGAATGAATGTGGTGAGATGGTACGAGATGCTGCACAGATCTGGGCCGATACAGGAGAACAACCAATTGTTCTGGTAACTCATGATGAGTGTACATTTCACTCCAATGAGGGTCCAACAAGACAGTGGACAAAGGAAGGAAGCCAGCCTCTTCGAAAAAAAAGTTTAGGTAAAGGAATCATGCTTTCAGGATTCTTGACACCTACTGCACCTCTTCGGGTACCAGACTATATTAGTAACTACCAGTTACTGAATTTAGGCCTTCGACGGGAAGCACTTGAAGCTATAGAAGCTGGAGGTGACTGCTGGTGGAATAGCGATAAGCTGGTTAGCTAAATTTTGAATTATGCTATACCAATTTTTGAACTCCAGTACCCTGGCTGTCAGGCACTTTTCCTTTTTGATAATGCACCCTCACATGCTGCCTGGCCTCAAGATGCATTACGGGCACACTCGATGAACTTGGGTCCTGGAGGAGAGGCTCCAATCATGCGTGATGGTTGGTATATTGATTCCGGTGGTACTTGTGTTATCCAGCCAACCAACTTCGCTATTGATGATCTTATGGTAGAGTCAAACCTACAAGGAAAGCCTCGTAGCTTAAAGATTTTACTGCAGGAGAGAGGACTATGGCATAATGACTTAAGACTGAAATGCCAAAACCGCAATTCCTGCAACCCGGGATTAGTTGATGGCTGTTGTGCTCGAACACTGCTTTCCCTTCAGCCTGATTTTCAAAATCAGAAGAGTAAAATTGAGGAAGCAGTATATAGCTGTGGCCATCTTGCTTTACTCTATCCTAAATTTCACTGTGAATTGAATTGGATTGAACACTACTGGTGTGCAGCTAAATGGTTCACTAGGAAGAATTGTGACTATTCACTTCCTGCATTACGATCCCTGATTCCGCAGGCCTTAGCCTACTCGAATCAATTCATTTGGCGATTTTGGCGGCGTGTCTCAGATATTGCTCAAGTCTATCGTGAAGGCGGAGGTTGGGGAACAGAAAAAACTTATAAGAGTCACCGGAGACTCTATTTACATGCAGAGGATAGATTGGAATCACTGGCTGGAAGTGACATGTAATGCTTGATAGGAGAGGGCAAGTGTGATATTTTAAATAAGTTAGTTTCTGTGTGTATTCACGAACATCTCACTCTTTTCGATACTGTCGCTGGTAGTGACTTGATCCTCTTTTGGCTAAACACTGGGTGGCAACCTATCACTTATTGGGAAAGGAACGGCAAT